ATATTTACGATCCCCTGTACATAGGAAGTCTGTCGTCTGAAATAGTTTTTGTGTCGGGTTTAGGTTTGATATTACGTTTAAAACTTCTCTTATTTCTCGATGTTTTAGTAGTAGTGTTCAGACGATTCCAGGCTTTGATGGTAGAGGGGCAATCTGATTAAAATACAGATCTATATTTCCTTTCGGGTTTTTTATACTTTCGATGGACTACACTACAAATAAAACGAAATTTTGAACTATAAAAACGAAACGAAATAGGATCTGTGTTTTAACCAGATTGGTAGAGGGGGGGGGGAAGATTTTTGGAATGTTGTGGTTTTAACAAGTGGTGGTTTTAGGTTTTGAGGGTTTCGTAGTGAGTATGTAGTATTAGGAGGTTGATAATTGTTTAAGATTTCAGATAAGTACGTAGGACATTGGTTATTGTGAATTTCGTATAGAGTTGGGAGTTTCCTTTGATGTCTCCTTTCGATCAAGCTTTCCCATCCTGTTTCGAGATATAGAGATTGTTTCATTGCAAATTTCGGTAAACCGGTAGCGATGCGGGCAGCTTCTAATTGGATTTTTTCTAGTTTGGCGCAGTCGGAGTCATTACACCCATCCCAAACTTGGCAAGAGTATTCCAGGTTAGCTCTTACTCTTATGTATGTTTTATAGATTATGTTCAGTGAGTTTTTATTTAATGAATATTTCAGCTGTTTGGATACCGAAGAACATATAGTATCAATGTGTTTTGACCACCTGAAGTCACTTGATAGTGTAACACCGAGGTGTTTATGTGTGGGGACTATTTCTAATTCTATGTCACCGAGTTTTAAGTTTGGTAGATGTGAATGGGGATTAAATGAAAATAACAGGTCTTTTGTTTTAATAGGGTTAAAATTAATTAACCATTTTTGAGACCAAATATTTAGGGCATTTAAATCATGGTTTAGAGATAATACTATATCATTAACCGTTTTTTCCATTACAGCCTAAAGCTGCATCGTCAGCAAAAAATCGTGCTATGTTTGTCAACGTATCTTGAATGTCATTTATATAGAGTAAGAAGAGGAAAGGTCCCAAAACAGAACCCTGAGGAATTCCTGACATTAGAGTTGTTTCATGTGATGTAACACCGCTGATGGTTACCGCCTGTTTCCTGTTACTGGTGTAGCTTGATAGCCACTTAAGACATGGGTCGTCAATACCATAGTTTTTTAGTTTATGTATCAGGCCTCTGTGATATACTCGATCAAGGGCTTTTGAAAAGTTGATGAACCGTTGAGTGTTGTGGTCTGAATCCAGTTTGCAAGCCATATAGAAGGTTTTTTGGACTGAAGGATTGTATAGATGTTTCAATATTATACGTTCGAGAACTTTACTAACAGTGCTTAAAAGAGAAATGGGTCTGTAGTTTGATGAAACCCATGGGTCGCCCTTTTTGAAGACGGGGATTACATTTGCTATCTTCCATTGAGCAGGAAATATTCCCTCAGTAATGGACTTGTTAAAAAGAATAGTCAAGGGAACACATATTGAATTAATAGAGTGTTTAAGTAAGATGTGACTAATCCTGTCAGGACCACTGGCCTTTTTGGCATTAAGACATTTGATTATATCCTTTAGTTCAGACTCAACAATAAGTGGTAGAGAAAATGAACAGAGGGTTCTAGAATTAAAAGTTGGAAGGTCATCTCCGGTTGTATTATTGGCAACAGACCCAAAGAAATTGTTTAGCGTTTGTGCTTTATCAAAGTTTGAGCGGGCAAAGCTTCCGTTTTCTTTCTGTAATGGAGGAATATTTGAAAATTTGTTTCTTTTTAACAAATGGTTCATACATTTCCAATAATTTTCGTTTGGTTTGGATATGTTATTAACGTTATCTAGAATTTTCTCATTATAATTTGATTTTAGAATTTTTTTGAAATTGTTAACTTTGTTGCGTTGATTTTTATATTTTTTAATGTCATTTGGATGCTGGGATTGTTTGGATTTTTTCAGTAATCTTTCGCGGATTCGGATATCTCTTCTTATATCTGAAGTAAACCACGGTTTATCGTTTGGCCTTATGATAACTTCCCTTTTTGGAATTGTATTGCCTATGAATTCACTTAGTTTGCCATAAAATAATGTGCACGCATCTTCAATGCTTAAATATTCAAGTTCGACTTTCCAGTCGACGTTTTGTATAAGTCTATTGAGCTCATTAAAATTGCCATTCTTGTAAGGAAATATTTCTCTCTTCTTGACGACTTGGTTTTGTTGGATTTTGATATCTATTTCACAACCTATTCCTTTATGATCTGAGATATATGAGTCAACATCAAAGGTTTCGGTAAAAACAACACTGATATCCCTCGAGACTAGAATAAGATCTAATAGAGACGAACAAGAAGGTGTGATTCTAGTGGGCTCCTGGATAACATTTGTTAGACTGTTTGTTAAAAGCAAATCATGAAGGGTACCTGAGCGGTTTCGTGGTATATCAACATTAAAATCACCAAGAAGTACAATTTTATTTGTGGTATTGTATGCGGCGTCTATAGAGATATCAAGTTGGTGCCAGAAATCTTGTGATGAATTAGCTGGCCTGTACTCACATGAAATAAGTAGAGGACTTGTTTGGAGATTGTTTCGTTTTGCATACTGCTACTGCATCACACGGTTTTTTCGTGTCATCCACAGTTTTTCGTTCAAACAAGATACTAACTCGTTCAAACGGATTAATATTTTTTTTCTTTGGCACTAATGGGCCTTCGTAATTTTCAAATATCGTCAGTGTTCTAATCCATTTGAATGTCTGTCAATCGATGCTCTACATAGTTGATTATAGGTTTGACATGTAAATAAATCGAAAAAATAATTTATCTAACATTTGAAGACAAAGGAAAGACCTGAAACAATAATGCAGAATTAGCTTTAAAATAATAATGCATCTTCAAATTCGCTTTGCATTTGGTGTATCCGATATTAAATTCATTTACTCCACTTACATCACGCAATGGAATGTTTTATTATTTTCAATTGTTTAACCTTGTTATGTTCTTGACTAGGTTGATTTCCCCTCTTTATAAACTACGAATTTTATATATTCCATATTGAAATGTTTATCACATATTTATATATCTCTTTATTTTATTTTTTATTTACAGTTTACCGGATTTATTGATGTATAGAAATGTATATACAAAACTGACTACTACATCCTATAACTGTTTGAAATTACATGGACATTAATTGTTAGACTACGCTGATTTCTAATTCAAATTCATCAATGCTGACAATTATAAATCTTAGATGTTTAAAGTACAGGTTCAATTTAAAGTGGGGATCAGGGACGGATCCAGGGGGCGGCGAGGGTTACTAACCCCACACCTGCTCAGCAACATAAAAAAAGATTTAAAACAACACTTGTTATGAGAAAAGTGTCACGGTCGTGTGCTTTATCCTTTATCAGATGGTGGGATAGGATGGGCATTCAAAGCGCGAGATAATGATAGACATGTGTGATATCACAATAATTAATGCTTTACATCCATGAAATTGAACCACAATGTGATCGTATTAATTCATAATAAAAACTGACATTGTAGGAGGGGGTTTGGACCCCCTGGACCTGGACCTGTCCTTTGATGTGACGTAATTAACTAATTGCGTATGTCATAGGCCTACTATAGGTATATTACTGAATGAATTTGTTTATCGCGTCCAATAAATTACGCCGATGATTTACCATATTCGCGAACTTTTCTTATGTGGCGTGGGGTCGGTGAGACTACAGATACTCAGTTAGCTTTATCCCTAATCACACCTTTTAAAATGGAATTGTCGCCATCATAAATAAAAAAGTAAATGTAATAACAGTAAAATCTTTACGAGCAGCCACCCCTATTCAGCAACACCTCCTTGTAAGCTCTCACGATAAATTCCCCCGATGATTTACCATATTCGCGAACTTTCCTTATGTGGCGTGGTGTCGGTGAGACTACAGATACTCAGTTAGCTTTATCCCTAAACACACCTTTTAAAATGGAATTGTCGCCATCATAAATAAAAAAGTAAATGTAATTACAGTAAAATCTTTACGAGCAGCCACCCCTATTCAGCGACACCTCCTTGTAAGCGGTCACGATAAATTCCCCCGTCTCTCCTCTAACGCGGCCAGCGGTCACTATTCGTACTAATAAATTTAGCAAAATAGCGCTTATTCAACGGCCATTGTTGAATGATACAATCTTGTCCTACTTCGTAGCACCTTCGCTAATCCCGTGGCACCTCACTGATCAGGTAAAAAGAACTGTGAAAATAACAATAACCTGGGATTATCTGTTAATTAATCTTTTGTTTTATTAAATGACAAACCGTAATCATTGTTTTCACACGTTACGAAACATGATTTGATACTGATGAAATAAACTAAAACTACCGTCAAAGCCGAGTTTTGTCACGATCATCTAGTATCTATTTTCCACTGCCACTTTGTTGTTATAAGATAGTGCCTCCTATATTACAGGCCCGGATTAAAGGCGGATGGGAGCCGCCTGGGCTGCAGCCAGGAGCCATCAAATCGGGGACGCAACTAGCTGTTCAGAGCAACGAGGGGGGGGGGGCAAAAGTGTCGTCAAGGGTTCTGTAAAATTGACGGACAATGTATATCTATTGTTTTTATGGTCGACAATTTTTTCATGGGGGGGGGGGGCTTTGCCCCACCAACCTCTGCGCCCCCACCCCCTATAGTTACCCGCCTGCATCAAATTAGTTCTAAACAATAATTAGGGCCTAATGACTTTTTTTAATGCCTATGTTTGTGCCCGTTTTCTTTGCAGACTTTAATTTATAGCCTTCCTTCGAGTACGCTGTCTTAATATCAGAATAATCCACCGGCATATACATAACCTAACTTTGCTTCTATAAATAGGTTCCATAAGTTGCTTAGTTTTGTCGTAAGAGGTGTTCCATACATTTTGACTCCAGACGAATCCATTTCATTCTTTTGGCTGTGCTGGTATACGTGACGTCATAGTCAATGTAAAATGGCACGCGGTATTATGTTGATGTTAGAATGACAACAAATCTTGGTCGGTAAGCAGAGAAAAAATAAACACGCCGCTTCGGCCAACAATGTTTGATTTAAAGCTAAGACATAGTTGATCAAATAACGGTAAGTCTGATATTTAAATTGTTACATGACAATGTTGGAAAATTATTTTTCTGAGATAGAGGATGTGGACAACATGACGAAAGATGAACAGCTTCATAGTTATTCATCTCTTCTTGTCTCGATTTGAGCGCGCACGTGGGTTGCGTTGAAATATGGGCAAGTAAACGACAGCGGCTTATTTAGCTAAATAGAAACGATATCGGTATGTTGGACGCTTCGATTTGATTTTAGAATAAACATCCGAGATGTGAATTACAAATCTCTTATTTTGATTTACTAATTTGACTTAAAATTTAAACTATCAATTGCACCTTCCCGCGAAAGAGATTTAGAGAATCTATTTATGGTCTTAAATATAGGTCACGTTGGCAACTTGGAATTTTCTTTTCTGCAGTTTGGTAAACAATGTTCAGTAAATATACGGTATACTTTGATGATGACCAGCTCTCCCATTAAACTACATGTAACTAAGTCGGTTTTGATAGAAGAAATAGATGCACAGCCCCGCTGAATGGTATCCAGACCACTTGGATCAAACACCACTCAGACTCGACCAAGATTGAAGAAGACTCGGCTACTCGGACCCAAAAAAGACCCGTCGGACCAAAAGAGGGACCACTCGGACCAACCCAAAAGACTACTTGGACCAAGCCAAAAGACTACTCGGACCAAGCCAAAAGACCACTCGGACCAATTAATTTAAATTGTACTCGGACCAATATTTATCTTTGCTACTCGGACCAACCCAAATATTCATCTGTAATTTATTCCATCAACAATTTAATTGTTTTTCTTTGATGTGCTTCATCAATTTGATTAGCATGTAACACGGTAGAAATAGTTCCACTACCGGTACTGATGATGTCTTCCGCCTTGCTCCAGCAAAAATAGTCATTTGACTACAAAAAAGTTACTGGCCTATAACTTCGCTAATTTCCAATTACACTGCCCCCAAACTGTACTGTACATAGCTTAATAAACCAATTGAAGTAAAGGTGAAATAAAAGTGAAACCTTACCGTATAATTATATGATGTGATTAAACCCAACTGCTATGCGGAATTTCTTTTCATTTTAAAATGTCCGCCCAACCAGAATCACGTGATTTCATGTCACTCGAAAATACAGAAAATAAAAACTGTTGAAACTTGTGTAAAATTCACACAGTTCATTGCGAGTTCCAAAAAATGGCCGGACCCAGCACCGTGGGTGTTGTCTGAAGACATGTTGTCTTCTGAGATGAGCACCAGCGAGGAAAATAAATGCAATAGCAGCATCCTCTTCATCCTTCCAATTTTCAGTAGTTGATTTCATCGTCGAGCTATCTTTCAATAAAAGAACTGTTCGCATAATGTTGTGTCTTGTGTTTATTTGCTTTCTCATCAACGTTCGTATGTAGACTTTTTTTACCTATCTTTCCATCGTACATTGCACACGCCACAAGGGAACAGTCTATGGATACGGGTGGGGGTACAGGGTCAGGTCACAACGCCACAAGGGAACACGCCACAAGGGAACAGCCTATGGATACAGGCAGGACCTTATGAACCATTGATAAATCACAATAAATATTCTCACATTAAAGATGGGTTCCCAGAAAAGTATTTATCGGGTGGTTATTTCCAATAAAAGTATGGTAATTTTGGTATATGGAAAGTAGAGATATCCAATCTTACTAGATTATACTGGATTCCCAGAAAAACACTCATGGAGCATATACAGGACAGAAATGTAAGGGTTCCCCTAATCAACAGCCCGACGATTAGGAATTTCTGCACGCGTTATGTAAAAGATCACACGCGAACATTGAGCGCTTGATGTACAAGTTGATAAACTTTATGAAGAGTTAGACGTACAACACTTTCTGCGATAAAAATGACGGAAAAAGGCGCGGGTAGTGGATAATCCAAGAATTTAATTAGGATTCGATATTTGTAATACATAGTAAGCGATTAAAGACAACATCGTCTTATGTATGCAATGAATTTTCCTCTGACTTCCAAGAGAGGTAACTCACGTGACGTAAACATGACCTGGTTTGATCAAATTTTTATAGCAGGACATTCCTTCGCAATTTCAATGTTTGAGAAGGATTTGAAGCAAAGTTATGACAAATTAATTAGTTTGAATATGTTTTTAGTCCATATATACCATTAAATCACCCAGTTTGTACGTGGGAACCCATCTTTAAATAAAAGTATCTCTACCAGGGTACTCACAAGCCTATGTGGTGCCCCGAGTCTGAAATTTGGGGTATAGGGGTAGCTTGGACCGGGGTGTAACATAGGCCAGGTGGCGTTAGTCTACCACTTCCGGTTTCGGAGTTATGACCCCGAGCGAAGCCGGTCTGTTCGGGGTTGGCGGCTACACCAGGTCTGGCCCGAGTCTGAAATTTGGGGTATAGGGGTAGCTCGGACCGGGGAGTAACATAGGCCATGTGGCGTTAGTCTACCACTTCCGGTTTCGGAGTTATGACCTCCAAGCGAAGTCTGTCTGTTCGGGGTTGGCGGCTACACTAGGTCTGCCCCGAGTCTGAAATTTGGGGTATAGGGGTAGCTCGGACCGGGGAGTAACATAGGCCAGGTGGCGTTAGTCTACCACTTCCGGTTTCGGAGTTATGACCCCCGAGCGAAGCCGTTCTGTTCGGGATTGGCGGCTACACTACGTCTGCCCCGAGTCTGAAATTTGGGGTATAGGGGTAGCTCGGACCGGGGAGTAACATAGACCAGGTGGCGTTAGTCTACCACTTCCGGTTTCGGTGTTATGACCCCCGAGCGAAGCCGGGTATCCTGCTAGTAATACTATAATAACTGCTTTGTTCAGTGCCTGTGCTCAGTTGATTTTTTATGATTAAAGAAATTTTAAACTCTGCATTTGATTGAAAATCCCTATAATATACCTTGGAAAAATTTGAAGTCTGTATGGTTACATGATCTTGAGGCAAAATTTTAATATCTTTGCCCAATAAGTTCCATCCCTTCATTTGCACTTAACGGTTGCCATTATAAGAAGCATGTAGGCCTACATGTACATATATGTTCTAATTAATATTTTGGCAAACATAATCTCGCTAGAGTGTGTATTGTAATGTCTATCTTTCATTGCAAGTGTACTCTGATGTAAACCTTGCTAATCACCATGTCTACTTGTTACTAAATAGCCTAATTATTAACAAGATTTGCACAAGTGATCACTCAGGATTAATAAATATACCTACATGTACCTATTTATACATGTAGGTCTGAAATATATAAAATTAATGGTTTATTCATGTAATATTTAGGTGTAGATTGTATGTTAATCAATTGATAAACAAAGCACAACGAGAAAGGCCAATAAACATTTCCTTTTATAAAATGTAACAAAAATCAGTGCTGAACGATGTGTTTAGGATTAGGTTGTAATTTAAAACGATTAAAATGATCAGCCTATAGGTTAAATAATGAATAAACATACAGACCTGCATACCCCATCTTAATGACGGAAACTTCCAGATCAGCGATAGAGAAAGATCGACTGTGCACCAGTTTGCTTACGGAATGTCTCCTTGATTGCCTCGATGTCATCCCCAACCACTGTGAAAACCTAAAGTAGTACAGATTAAGCAACTTGTACGCACCTTCTTATTTAGTCATTTGACAGTGACCAAGGATTATCTAGCCCCAAATTTTAATGGAAATAAGTGAAGTCTCCCCTACTTTTTGGGTTAATCCTTCCGCTTGCATGATATGAGATAATATCAAGAAATTACTGGAAGTTATTTATAAAGTAATGGAAAATGCTAATTCCCCACTGAAAATTGTATTATATAGTTCTGTAAGTTTATATTTACTGGACTTCCAGTTTGTAATTGATCTGTTTTACTGAATGATGGCGCCAGAGGTTTGACTATACAGGTTACTGAGGTAACATCACTGGGTTAATGCATTAAACAGCCATTTTTATAGTTCTATATACCTGTATTAATAATCTTTTAACCCATAATATTGACCTATTTCTCACCTCTTTTGTAAAGCACACCAAGTTCAATAGGTCAGTAATCAATCTGTTTTCTTCCCAAGAGATTGCCAAAAATTATTTGGGTGAAGAAATTTGTAGTACTGGTACTGTCCATTGCGCAAATAAGTTCTTTTCTGAATTAATTTTCAAGACAGATTTTCTAATCCAACAATATTTTAAGTTCTAAACTAAAGAAACCAGGGTCTCCAACAAGATCATGATTTTCAAGATCCTGGTTACTTCATATCAAATGTAGCAAAACATTAGAATAATTTTCCGTGGTTTCCCCCTTGTCAGTGGTGCAGCACAGAGAGGGCCTGACAAGGACAGCTGTTTGGATGGGACAAAAAACTGAGGTCCCATGTATACATTGGCGTGCCCGTAAAAGATCCCTTGGCAGTTTGAATTCGATGTAGTAAGAGTAGGCCATAGTGCTGCTTAGCAGGCAAAAGTTCCCTCATAGCACACTGTGTTGCACGTCATTCTGAACATCTGAGACACGCCACCTGCAGAGAAGTATCTCAGACACAGTCAATAGCCAGGATATCCATATCACGTGATCTACACATCACAGGTCATGACATTGACGTCAATGGGTCATGAGGTCAACAGCACGTTAAATTGTAAACAATAGGTTTATCTTCAGCATTGTGTCTTTTGCACCCATAAAGACTATATAATTCGTACAGTCCCAATGTGTTCTCTCTTCTTCCAATGATTTTTCACAAAAAAAACATATACAATTCATAGAATTGAGGTTGTCTTCAATGACTGCGAATGGTTGGCACTATTGTGTGCGTCGGTCGTGTCTATTTCAGATATACACAATCAATTCTGTTGATGTTTTTTGCGTTGTGATTGACTAATAGTTAATTTATTTCAGTTCTAAAACAAATATTTTAAACTTTAACGCAAATTTAGAAAATAGCCAAATTCTGGCTGGGATTACTGAGCAAAATGGCCATTCACTGTATACGTTCGAAAAAAAAGCTAGCCACCAAT